AGAAAAATAATGTCTTAGACATTCATTTATTCAAGAGTGATATGCCACTATTGCCTGGTTAATATAATCTTAAATCCTGATGTGGACACTCCCAATACATAAAAGTTTCATGTCTGCTTACAACAATAAGAATAATTTCGCCTTTACTCACGTGATTAATGAATGAAGGCAAATAATTAAAAAAAAACTCAGTGGGACAAAATGAACACCTATAAAAGTAATATAACTGTGGGAAACAATGGGGGGGGAAAAAATGAGATCACTAAATTATTACCAATTAGGAATGTGGAAAACAGAATGACCACGATGCTTCCGTGTTGCTTCTTCTGAAAAGAGCAATAGGCATTAAAGACAGAATTCCAGACACAATGGAGTGGTGGCAGTGATCACGTCGAGTGCACCGTGGCTCGGCAAGCAGCACATCTCTGATAGCTTTGCTGTAAAATGGCCGTCCAGCTGCATTAACAGCATGCCCGCAGCGTTCCATCACTACAAATATTTGAGCCATACAATTTAAATTCCATTTCCAGAATTTTGCTGTTCGCCTCAACAATTTATTTGATATTCGTCTCCCTCCCTGCTAATATTTAGCTCCCCGTTTGGTTCTGCAATGCAGCTGTCAGATTGTGTGTAATTTTTTTAACCCAAATTTTCTATTCCATGGGGAAAAGTGATCCTTATATAGCCTGCTTCTAGGCCAGCAAGCCCTGGAGATGAGCCTAAAATATGCATCTAATGAGCTTCATTAAGGGTATAGGCAGCCTCCTGGTGATTTGATCAAAGTCCCATCAGGTAAAAAAAAAATCTTTGTTTTTACATCATTCCAGTGTTTAAAAGCAATGATGTTTGTTTTTGTTCTCATTGTCATAAACAGCCCACGTGATTACAATTATGGCTATCATCATTTAATAATGCCGAACATCATGCAAAAACGCGTTTGTTGATCGCCAGATGCAGTGTCGGTGATATTTCAAGGTGGCATTTTACTGGCTGATTCCCACCTTTGCGGTCAAATGAGGAAAGGGGGACCAATTGTATGGTATGTTGCTTGAGGCTCTTACATTAGCACATCTGCCTTCAAAGCTCCATGGTCTTTGCTAAGTAAGCAGCTTAATAGGCCTAATTTAGCATGGCACATGTGACTTCGCTGTAGAATACCTAACTATGCTCTTAATTCAGTTTACCAAAACAATCACCTTCATAATGACTCAAAATGAGGCAGTATGTCAAGATACCAAAGCAATGCATTTACTTGGTTCATCCTGCATAATGGGACAAACCATGCTTTCGAAAAACACCGATTTTAAATGTCACAATATATACATTTTTTATTATAGCAGAGAACGATTTTATTCCAGGTTAATAAAAAAAAACCCCGCAAAGAATACACCTCTTTCTTTCAGTGCCAATGGGCAGGAATAATGCTCTCAAATAACCGATGCATGGTCTTTCATATATATAACATTTTATAACTGCACAAAATAATGGTGGGTGATAGCCAGGCAGGGTAAATTATTCACGGCTGCCAGTCAGCTGTGAATTTTCCTGCAAGCTATTATCTGTACTGCTTGTGGGCCTGGCTTTACTGAGCACACACACAAGCTAGCCATAAATTGTTACCAGGTGCCAATAGGAATCGGGCATGCTTGACAGTTGTTGCTGTAAACGTGGCTGAAAGATTGCCCAGTTCTATACCCTGTCACGTGATGTACAATGTCTTACTTGTGTGCAGGGACAGGAGTCATAAGGATGTGAAAACAAAATCCCATAGCAGTTGAAAAGAATTATAATAATTTGCATGTTTCTTTAAAAGTCAAAGTGAGTTCCAGTTTAAATAAGTGTTGAGGCAGTGCTCATCTCCTGTTTATAGCCCCTGAGCCAGTAGTGGAAATTCCATATTCCTATGGCAAGAGCGATTCATTCCATAAGACAACCACTGTTGACTTTCCCAAAAAGGGCGTACTCGTTTGGTCAAGCCCGGATTGATGATGATTGGCTGGATCAACCCCCAATCAACATTTTAATGCCTTCAGTTGCGAATCCGGAACACACTTTTACCCATTTGGTAAAAGTAAAGAGATCCTTAATCAAGAAAACAGGAAGAAAAAACCAAAAGCACTTCAAAAAAATCTACGCTTGAAATTGTGTTACATTTTGCATAATGCTTCGCATATATTAAGAACGTATTCAGCTGGAGGCTTCATGACAACACACAATTAGACCAATGTGTTATATTTTTGTTAAAAGTCTGAGTGGAAAGCTCTTTGAAAGAAATGTCCTGTTCAGAGAGGAATCAGCCGATCTTCAAAAAGATCTACAGCTCTCAACAAATACAAACTAACCATCACCATTTATGAACTTCTCAAAGAATATGTAATGCATTCCTTTATCAAAAAAACACAATTCAAGAAATGCATGAAAGTGCTGGTACGCAACATTTTTCAACCAAATTGAAATATAAGGCGTATTAACATACATTGTCTTTACAAACATGAATATAAAAAAACACAGAGAAAAACAACACATCTATGCAAACAATATACACTTCATAACGTTGATGTTCCAGTGGATTTATATTGACTTTCTCCATATCTTGCTTCCAATCATCTGGCAATAGTTATTTTGCCCACAGCCACATTTTCTTGCTTGGATGTATGAGAAGAGAGGAAGCACGCAGATGTGTGTTTTAGATAGCTATGGCCTTGTCAGATAACTCACTAGACACGCCAGAGGCAAGGCATGCCTGATATGCTTGACCCAAGACTGTTCACCCAGCATTAAAAGTAACAGCCACATACAACCCATGTGCAAATTACATGTATTGTCTCGAACCTATGCTGCAATGAAGTGCTGTAGATTTAATTTACTTAATAAACATTTAACAACTGTATCATCTTCTTAGTTTTTTCGGTAAAGTCACGTTGAAGGGAAACAAAACCTGAAGACGACCGTTTGAGTTATGGTCGAAACGTCGTGATAATTTTTTATTGTTTTATATATTTTATTATTTTGTTGTTTCCCTTCAACGTGACTTTACCGAAAAAACTAAGAACATGAATTACTGCAGTCACGAAAGCTTTAAATCAAAATTTAACTGTATCATCATCATCCTCAGCCATGATCTATCCACTGTTAGATGAAGGCGACCCTCCACTGCCACGATCCCTCGCCAGTCTCGTAATGCACACGCCACTCACTTCTGCACAATATCTGTAATATCATTATCATCACCGAAAGTCAATCCACTGCTGGATGAAGGCCTCCTCAAATCGTCGCCACCTCTCATGATCCTGCAATGCAATAATCCACCGTGCACCTGCGCACAAACTGACTTAATTGCAGCATCTCCTCGGATAACTGTATAGCCTGACTGTTAAAGTACTGTTTCACTCAGTCTAAAGATTCTTTTTCAGGAGGGTCTTGCCAAGTTTTCACAGTAGGAGCTGACGATTACCATATGTTTTCCATTTAAGTAATTGTAAGTTATTTTGCAAATTTGGCAAACTTGGACCATGACGCCAGCACAACATGGCCCACACTTCTTCGAATAACGTCACGGTATCGTTAATGTCAACTTTGAAGCAGACGGCACGTATTTAATATTTTGTGCACCCGCAGTATCAACCTATAATAATAATTGTATGTGAGCAGCAGTGGTGAGTCCAACTGAGTCGCAGACGTTGTCTTGGGAGCAACACTATTTATTACATCAACTCAACACAACATAACGTAACCTACACTCGGGTGTTGAACGCCAATCTAACCACGCTACGGCAGAACGAGACACGGTCCTGCTATCCCGGTTCAGACCATGAGCTGGGTCCCGGACCCCGTGGCTAGAGGCTTCTTCAACCCGACGTGGATCTTCACTCACCAACAGTCAAGAACTCCTGAGCCCCCCACGGGGGCCCCCGTTATATCGACCCGGGCTGGGGCTGACTCCACCTCTCGCCTCGCCCACCTTCTAGATCTCTCGAGCTCTTTCCCGAAGGCTCCGGGGAGCTCCTCTATACCACGTGACCATCCAGCGGCCCCCTCCAATTTCATCCGGTCATGTGTCGGCAGGTCAACCAGCGTATCATGCCCCAACGTAACCCTGGCTGGCTGACACTCTCTCTTGCTCCCTCACCTGGAGCCCGCACGGCACACTGTACGTGGTGCCTCTGCGCTGACCAGCGCTCACCCAAGCCCCGCTAGGGCTGGTACTACGCCCAGTAACCGGGCTGCACATAATGACAACATATTATCTGCCATGGCCTGGCAAGGCCGGCACCACACAGTGACATTCACAGTCACTACACATCTATAAAATTGCATGTAGAAAAGTACTAAGGTTAAATGTGATATGTAACCCTAACAAAAGATGAAAAAGAAAGTTGTATATTTAAAATGCATAATTCATACGAATTGCATCTCCGATTTGTGTGGTTGGCTACAGACATACAGACAAAGCGCTTCGTAACACGCAGTTTCCGCAGAGAGGCGCGGGGAGGAAACCAAAACAAGTGGGAAAGGTAGCCAGAACGGCCGTGAGATGTTAACTCTCTTTCCTAGTATGCAGGAGGTCGTGGGTTCGATCGCCACCCTGACACCTGTAAACTTGGAGTTTACATGCTCTCCCTGTGCTCACATGGATTTTTCTCTTACCTCTAAATTTAAAAACATGCGTTAATAGTAATTGACTGCTGTAAATTTCCACAAGCTAATCCACTTTAAGATATCATTTGTGGCCAGGTCGCTGATGAAAAAGAGCTATATAGCTCAGTGAGCCTTACTTAGAAAGATAAAAAAAAATTGTTCCTATATTTATAGTTTATAGAACTGAGGCACACAACTGCCCAAGCTCTGTGATCCTACAAAAGAGTGTTTGGGCCAACTCCATTATAAATGGCTAAACTTCGGCAAGCAATCACCCTGCTTAATCAAATCTATCCTCCGATTAGCACGGTTGGTTATGTACGGTGCGAAAAACGTTCAACATACATATGAACAGCACTTACGATGTGGAGTTGGATGAAGTCTCCGAGCGTGGCGGCGCTATCCACCCTCACGAGCACTGCGTCCCAGGTCCGCGTACTGAAGCCCACAGCGAGCCTGTCCGCGCGCGTGCTCGGCCGGTCATTGGGCGGCCACGTGTACGAGATGAGGCCACCGCCACGGCCAAAGATGTACGTAGTCCCAGCTGCAGAGCAACACACACACCCACACATAGGGGCGCCGCGGTGGTGAGATGTGAACTACCTCGCCTGGTATGCACGAGGTCGTGGGTTCGATCCCGACCCAGATGCCTGTTGTATATTTGGAGTTTGTATGTCTCTCTCCCCGTCGTCACGTGGATCTTTCTCCAGATCCCTCCACATTTAGAAATATGCGTTTATGGTTTTTGGCTCCTACACATTGCCACGTGATAAGTCACTTTGTTGAGCTATCATTTGTGACCAGGTCGCTTCTGAAAAATATTTACATAGCCCAGTGGGCCTTACCTGGTAAAATAAAAAAAATAGTTTCGTTTATAATTACAAAACACAGCCTGTCGTGCTTAATGGTTGTGTTGGTCGTGTTCTGTTTTTTGTTAACACAAATTACATTCAATACACTACACCTGCCGTGTTTTTTTTTCTCTAAACGTAACTGCTTTGCCGTGCTTGTTTTTACATTACTCCCATGCAGAGAAACTTGTGAAGGACATCACTTGTAAAGGGAGCAGATGAAAGGAATTGTCATCAAACAGCAGCCATTTTCTATCCACTGCTGAATAAAGACCTCCCCACATCGTGTTGATCGTGGTAGTTGTTTTAACCATGCTACACTACAGCTGGTCAGTATGGGTCGGTCTATGGGGAGCCCAAGACCGGTTGGTTTGAGATGTCACTGGCCATTGGCTTTGACTCAAACTGTTGGCACCATGTTCAGTGAGCTAACCACTCCTCCACCGCTCACCTCACAATTACAAATGTTGCAAAATGCATATCACAAACATCCTTAAAAACTACGAAAATAGTTGATGTTTTTAGCTCCAGTTTTATAGAAATACTGCAGTGGGTATTTTGTAATATATTCGAAAATTCCATAATTTAGCGGTGGTGGAGCGGGCCACGCACTGCGCTTTGAACCCGGCGACCCGAGGTTCCCTGCCACAGCTAACATCATCGATGAGTGATATGTATATGTATGTATGTTGAACTTCCTTCACACCGTTTGTGGTCAACCGTGGGAATCGGATACCTTACATTACAGTGGTGTAGATGTTCCACTCCTGACTATGGGCCACACATGAAGAAGATAAGCCCCAATATAGATTTGAAGTTTTCGGTAAAGTCACGTAGGTATAAAATAAAATAAATAAAATCACGACGTTTCGATTGCAACACAAGCAATCATCATCAGGTGGTAAAACCACAGCAGTATTTTTTTTGCTGAAGTGGGAGCGAGAATTGCCGTGGTAAGAGGTTATATAGGCAAGGAAGGGGGAGGAGCAAGTGGGGAGAGGGAGGGGTGGGGGTGTGGGGTAAGGAGAGGGAAAGCGTCGCGTGGAGTAGTAGTAGTACCAAGATAAGCCCCACAATCCACTGCTCAAGAAGACAGTTTGTGCTTTTTGAACAAAGCACCAAGAGTTCAAATGTTCAGGCAGGAATAGTTTCCCCTTTGATTCGCATATGTGCAGCATCCACATTAATATATAAGTGGAGTTTCACGGCACATGGCTGTCCTATTGTAAATCAATCAAATCATTAGAAAAAAACAATCGTTATTAACGGCCTTTGAAAAGGTTCAACGGGTTGATGATACAATCTATTACTGCACGGATAAGTTGTGTTTGTGTTTGCATAGAGTAATGTAGAAAGTATGGACAGAATAGCTGCACTTACAAATAAAATAGAAGTGTTTCAAGTGCAGATTTGTTGACTCCATGAAATATTTACCTATACTTTATCATGCACATATTTTCTAAATGAATTGTGTCTATCATTTGACCAAAATGATATTGATGTAACTGCCAAAAATATGTTTGAAAAATACAAAAGTAATATTTGTTGATTCTGCAATAATTAAGTATATCACACCCAAAATGTTGGTTGGTGTTTTTATCCCCTAAAGTGCATTACAAAATATTCATTTGTTTTTATGGATCATATTTAGTAAAAGTTAAATCAAACCATGTGCCTGTTAAGAAACAGGTGCATTGTTTCAAAGTTGTATAATTCATTCCATGGGGATATTTTGCATACAGGTTATACAATTTAAATGACGGTGGCCTTGGTTTATAACGCAGTAATCCCAGAGGGCATTATTAATGGTATGAATCAAACGAGCACGCCGTGAACCAAGAAGAAAGTGAGCGAAGTAATGTCAACCTAAACAATAAACCTGAAACATACAGGTTGTTATGACGAACCACTTGTAAACCTGGAACAATGTTCACTCTACCAGGACCCTGTTCGCTAAAACAGGTTCAATGACAATTTGAACTGAGTCTTTGAAGGAACACGTGAAAGCATTAACGCATCGCCACGTATGTGTACATGCGTTTCCACAGGTCTCCTTGTCAAATGCTAAATTAAACCATCACACACAGGTACATGTGTACAGTATTCACTACACAGTACATTGTGCTCTATAAAGTACATTGTAAAAATGGACGAGGATTGATGGTTTTGCAGTGTGTACGATTGCAATTTGCGGGGTGGCTAACGTCATGCGATAGCTAGTATGGAGGTAGAAATCCACACGAGAGAATGCTTTCCTGCAGGTACATTCATTATAAATGGGGAACTATTATAAGCATGGTTTATTATCACGAGGTCATACTTTAAATTTGCCAACTGAATCAGACCTTGATGCTTGTAAATCATTAAATAAATGATATGTGTCACCAAATTGGACAGCAGAATTTACTTTTTAATTGAATCACAAAGGATTAAATTGTATTAATTATTGTCTGCAATTTCGCAGCCAAATAATTTTCTCCATCTGGAATTATACAACGGCAACAATTCATTCTCAGTACAGCGCTTCCCCAGACATTTCAGCCATTTAAATTTAGAAGAAGAAAAATATCAGCGATAATAAATTACTGGAAACATTTGAATTGATTAGACATTTGTTTCCAATTGTAATACTCAGCGCTGTCATTTTTACTGAATGCACACTTTGAAATGTCTGATGATGGCCAAAGTTGGAAGACATTTGGTGCAGTGGTCACGTATCTTAAACACATGCCTAAAATAATGATCGCCACATTTAAACTGGTTTGGCAGCGCCTACATAAAAATCGGAAATGACCAAATGTTACAGCCATGTCATTCTGAAAAGCGTTTACACATGTACCAGTGGCCTCTTTGTTCTGCTTAAACATGTTTATTTATCAAGGGTTTTTGTAAAAAAAATAAACTGCCATTGTGATCCAGTATAATTATACACTTAGTCAGCAAGTATCAGAAGTTTAAAACCGGAATACTATGCACATTCGACAGAAGGGCAGTACGCCTTGGAGCAAAGTTTAGATAAGAGGAGTTCAAGACATTTTCAAAACGGGATATTAAAGGTGTGATCACGTACAAGTATTGCTTCATTTACAGATTAGTCACTAAGAAGACTGCTGTACATTACAATTTTAATTACAAAAAAATAACACTGAGGTTTATACGGTTCACATCCGATTGGAACTTATAATATCACATCTGCTCATGACCTGACTGATTTAGAGCTGATTGAAACTGATTCACGATTGTTTTGTTCCATTTTCATGCATACCAGTGAAATAAAATACTGATTTTGTTGATTGGGATTGGAAGTTAATGACTGTACAACAAGCTGGCAAAACAAACTATGTGTTGAATTAATCTGTGAAGATCAAATTAGCATCCGATTTTAATCGGCTCACAGTATAATTAATATATAGTATGCGAGGTCAGTGTATCTGATTCTGAGTCAGACTAATGGTGCACCCATAAGAAACAAGTATGAGATTCAAAATTATGTAAATCATATTAACCTTATGGCTCTCGCATAATGTCCGTGATGCAGTCATTTTTAGTCTGTTGATGGTCGGCGATGCGGCAATCGACTCATCTCGACGAGCTGCACACGATGCACCGCTGCGGTGGGTACGAGCGTTCAGGGTTTCAGCGGAATCGTCCTCGCTGCGTTTCGACATCTCGGAGTAGCACTGATTTTGTATTGATTGGTACCCCAGTCGCGGAGTTAGGTACACCCCTGGAAAAAATAGTGTCCCAGGAATAAATTATTTAATTGCCTCGGCGCCATATGTTGGACCGATACAAATGCTTTAGCAATACAGATTTTAAGTGTTTCTATCCCTCAACGTGAGGCCTCTACATTTATCTTGACGAAGCACGCATAATATTTGTCACAATTTTAATGGTCGCAACATTTACTTTAAATATGCAATAGTTGTTGCGATATTAATTGGATATAATATTTTCCGATTATTGATCGGCTTTCGTCGACAGTGGGAAAAAAAGGCTGTAATTTTTTTTTAACTAAATAAATCTTGAACTCGGGAAAAAATATCGTGCGATTTTCATGTAATAATTTATTTTAATCGTGCGCAAAAAATAACAAAAAAAGATACACAAAATCATACCGCTCGCGTAATTGCTAAAACAGCTGTGAAACTGCATGTAATTAGAGCTTATGCATCTGATTCATTTGAAGCGTTATAATCTCTCCAATTACAGAGATTTCATAACCAATGTGTGGTGTTGCCATTGACCGCCCTGTGAACTGACAATTGGTTATTTTCCAAGGGTGACCTTTATGAATTAAGCATTCATGTAACCTGCTTATAACATGCTAATAACTGAGTGAAGAGATACACGATGAAAACAAATTTCCTCGCAATATTTGACCAACAATAACAATTTAAATCCCTCTGTCAATTCACTGCTGGATGAAGGCCTCTCCTCACGATATCAGTCATGGTGGGTTGCGACTATATTTCACCATGCTGGTCAGTACGGGTTGGTGTAATGGGGGGTACCCAGCGCTCACCACTAATCATAACTGTGTCTAGAAATCAAACTAAGGGCACCAGATTTAAAGCGCAGTGATAGCCAATGCCCCACAATTCCACCCTGCTGAATTTGTAATATGTACTTGGAAACGTCATGTGTTTCAAGGTTCTGTAAAATAAAATCACTGTAATGAGAAAAAAAACCC